CCCCCAATTCCCCAATAAAAATCTTTAAAAAAAAAACACCAAAAACCAATATTTTGTAGTTTTCAGTGCACAAATCTTGTACTTCCTTGGTTAAATTTATTCCTAAGTATTTTATTTTGATACTATTATAAATGGAATTGTTTTCTTAATTTCTTTTTCATATTGTTCATTGATGGTGTATTGAAATATAACCACTTTTTACATGTGAATTTTGTATCCTACAGCTTTGCTGAATTTGTTTATTAACTATTAACAGTTTTTTAATGGAATCATTAAAGGTTTCTATAGATCATGTCATTTGCAAATAAAGATAGATTTACTTCTTCCTTCTCAATTTGGATATTTTAAATTTCTTTTTCTTGCCTAATTGCTTTAGCTAGAACTTCTAGTAGTATGTTGAATAGAAGGGTGTACATTTTACTTTATCATGTTGTTTTCTCACTGTTTAGAGGCTGGAAGTCAGAGATAACGTGCCATCAGATTGGTTTCTGGTGAGCCTCTCTAACTGGCTTGCCAATGACCACCTTCTCGCTGTGTCCTCACAAGGCCTTTCTTTTGTGCACATGCCCTTGGCACCTCTTTCTCCTCTTATAAGGACACCCATCATATGGGATTAGGGCTTCATCCTAATGATCTCATTTAACATGAATTACTTCCTTAAAGGCCCATCTTCAAATACTGTCACATTGGGATTTGGGGCTTCAACATGAGACTTTTGGGGATATACAATTCAGTTCATAATACTAAGTAAATGCATACTCCATTTATTCACCCACAATTTGCATTTCCCCTTTGACATGATGTCCCTGAGATTCTCACAGTTGGTGCCTGTAGCTGTCGTTACTCCATTGGAGTATCTTACAGCATTTCCCAGAAATTCCAGGAATAACACACTCAGCATTTGTGCCTTGTTCTTGCTTGAATGAGACTGTCACTAGTGTTTTGTGTTCAGCTTGATATAGGTTACTAGTTTCTTTGCATCTGCCTTCCTCTGCCTGTGTAGATGCCACACTCTGTAACATGCTGTGTGTGACATTCCCTCTGCCTAGCACTGTCATGTAAAATGCCTCAGGACCCAGTGACGTTCCAGGATGTGGCAGTGGAGTTTACCCAGGAGGAGTGGGAGCACCTGGGCACCGCTCAGAGGGCACTGTACTGGGAGGTGATGCTGGAGAACTACAGGAGCCTGGCCTCCCTGGGTAAGGGCACCCTGGGGACACCATCTGTGCTGGCTTGGGGGGGCTGTTCCAGGCAGCACCCTTGGAGGGACTGGGGACAAAGGGGACATCTGCCCAGATTGCTGAGCTGATGGGAAGATGGGGGAAAGTTAAACAATTTAACTGAAAATGATTAATATTTTTATATTAAACACAGATACATTATAGATTACAAGAAAATATACATAGTTTTAAAAAATGCAGTGGAAAGAGGTTTTGGACTTGCAGAGGCATGGTGGGCTAGTGATCCTTGGAGGCCTGTGTGCACCTTCTCGGCCGATAGAGGTTGTAGAAACAGGAGTCAGTTTTCACTTCTCTATCCAAATTTCGAATCCCAAGGCCCTGAGGCCTCTGAACCATATTTTGATAATGGGAGGACGTGAACTTGGGGCGTTTCTGCTGCTTGTCCTCTATGTGGTTGGGCACAGGAGGCCAAGGCTGTCCCCCTCCCCCCAACCCCACATCATTCATGCTACAAAGGTCCCTAAGGCAAGGCCCTGGGCTCACACCTGTCACTGGCCCTAATACCTACACCTCTTATCTTTCCTGAGCAGGGTGCCAGGATCCCAAGCCTGATGTGATTTCCCAGTTGGAGCAAGGTGGATCTCCATGGATGGTGTGGAGGGAAATCCCTAGGGGCCCCTCGCCAAGTGAACAGGCGGGAAGGAGGCATGGAAGCTCACACAAAAGGTTGTCCAGGAAGCTGGTGGTTTCTGGAAGTACTGGCCACGGGGCCCTCCCCAGGGGAAATCAGGGATGCATGGGGAGTAGTTCCTGCGCAGAGCCCCCTCCCGCCCTCCTGCTCCTCTCTGCTCCTATATGAGGTCCTCCTGGGCCCCTCCCCAGCCAGGCGGACTTTCTTCTTCCCTCCTCCCCTGTGTACTCCCTTCCCTGCACTGCCAGGCATCTGCCCCGTTGAGAGAAGCCCCTCAGTAGACAATGAAGCTGCTTTTGCCGGCCAAGTAGCTCAGTTGGTTAAGAGCTCGCTCGAGAGTGTGAGCTCTGAGAAACAGGGTTGCCAGTTCAATTCCCAGCCTGAGCTGAGCTGCTGCTGAGCTGCCAACAGGTGGCAGAATGGCTCAGCTAAAAAAAAAAAAAGAAGCTGCTTTCACCTTCCTTTCTTTCCTCTCATCCCCTCGGGTCACCACAGGCCACCAGCCTCTCTCCCCAGCCTGTGTTCCACCCAGCCATTCCAATGGGATCCAGAGAGGCTTTCTACCCATTTCCAGAAGTTCATGTGACAGTTCCCTCCTCTGTCCTCACCTCCCTTGGTTTCCTTGACACTACACGTCACACATTTGCCTTCCTTCATCTCCTGTCCATCACCTTTTGCTTTCTGTTCACCCTTTGAGAGAGACCAGACCCAATAGCCATCTGTACTAAAGGCTTCTGTCTGCACCCCGGCTCCTCTGTCTTCCCGGCACTCTGGCCCTGCCCACCCCTCTGCTCTCATATCTCTACCTGGATCCTCAGCTGTCCCATCAAATTCAGCACAGAAACCCTTTAGTCACCTGATCCCTCATCACCTATAGCCCATCTCCCGGTTCTGATACAGTCACCCACACACTGCCACCTCGTGCCAGCACAAGCAGTGGAATGGGATTTCTCCATTCCTTCTCTTTTCCCTTAATCCACCTTGAATGCTACGGTTAGGCAGGTCTACTAGGAACATCTTTGTAACCACAGCCACCACCTGCCAGAACCCACACTGTGATTCCCTGCTGCCTGCTGCATTCAGCCTCAGAAAGACTTCCTATAATCACTGTCCAGTTCACTCAGCTCCTGTTCCATCTTCACCTGCCCCTTTGCCTGGGTCAGATTCTGCACGTGCCTTTCCTGCCCATCACTTGCTAATTCAGTCACACACCTAAGTTGACTCCACAATAACTGTGGGTTCTCTGATAGCTGTAGGAGAATGGCCATCCTTAGAGACCCGATGAATTGGTGTTTCAGGGAAGTTAACTGTGGCAGCCTACAAGATGAACACGCAGGGAAAAGAGGCTGTGGGCTGAGAGATTAGTGGTGACATTTCACAGTGACCCAGGCATGTGGTGACCCCGGTTTATACCCTGACCTGCCTCCTTTCCTCCACTGGTTCTTATTTTAATACTTTGCCTCATCATTATCCACTTGTCTATTCTCAGGGTCATGGATTTCACCCTTCAGTCATTCCAGAAGGGAGTCCTCATTTGCTTCACTTAATCAGCACTCCTATAACCACTTGTGTGTCCCTGTTCACTTCTTCATTGCTCCTGTGTAGTGTCTCTTGGCTTGCATGACATATTTTATTTATTTTAAAGATTTTATTGGGGAATTGGGGGAGGGGAACAGCGTTGGAGAAATCGGGGGAAAGGAACAGATAAGTTTCTGTCCTTTTGTTCTTCCGTCTAGTTGTGGAGGACGTCGCTTCACTGGCCCATGTTGGTATTATCATTGCGCTCTTCCCGGGTGAGGCAGTCGCTCGCCAGCCATTTGATGTCCGCTCATAGTGGCTCCCGGCAGCTCACGCTGGCTCCCGGCCACTCACACTGGCTGCCAGCCACTCATGGTAGCTCATGGCAGCCCGCTGCAGCAGGGGCTTCAGCCTATGCCATTGCCGGAGACTCACCACAGCCCAGCTCCAGGTTGAGCTGTTGTTCACCATCTTAGCTGTAGAGGGCGCAGCATCACAGGCCCTCATGTGGGATCCGAACCAGGACCCTGCTGCTCAGAGCTAGTGTCCCAAACCAATGCCTAACCAACACGCCACTCAGCTGGCCCTTGCGTGACATATTTTAGATTAAAGCCCCATACCTCTGTTTGGGGAATCAAAAAATAAAAGTAATAGTAACATACATGTATTATATGTGGCTTCGACTAGCTCACATTTTGCATTTCTCTAAATGGCCAAATATTCTCTGTTTTTTATTTATTTCAGATCAATAAACCATATCTGGTACTGAAGAGTCATATCTGAAGCAAGTAGTTTCTAAAGAATTTTCTCAGGGCATGATAATCAACAAAGGTAAAAGGAATGGAATCTGTTCTTCCACCAGAGCAGTCCCAGGATTTCTTGGCCATTTAGAGAGTCATCTAGGGCAGATGGCATTTACCCGTCACAAAAGCCTGACTCTAGAGAACATTCATGAAGATAATGGATTTGAGGAAGAGTTCAGATGGCAATCAAACTTTGTTACTCAAAACAAAATTCCTTTGGGGGAAATAGTGCATGAAGATGACAGTGATGACAGTAGCTTTTCACATAACCTAGATATAAATAACCATCAGGGAATCTACATGATGAAAAATCATACAAATGTGATAAATGTGGGAAATACTTTAGCTGTGGTTCAGATCTCACTCAACACCAGAGTATTCATACAGGAGTTAATCCGTACATTATTAGAAGTCAGAAGGTGGGCGCTAAGGAAAAGCCCTTCAAATGCAAAAATTGTGGGAAATCTTTCAGTGGGGGAACACACCTTATACAACATGAAAGATGCCACACAGGAGAGCAACCATATGAGTGTAATGTATGTGAGAAGTCGTTCAGCTGGGACTCATCCCTTATCACCAGAGAACTCATACTGGAGGAAAACGCTATGAGTGTAGTGAATGTGGGAAAGCCTTCAGCCAAACTACATGCCTCACACAGCATCAGAGGGTTCACACAGGAGAAAAACCTTATGAATGTAATCAGTGTGGGAAGGCCTTTAGCCAAAGCTCACATGTAACTCTGCATCAGCAAACTCATACTGGGGAGAAACCCTATCAGTGTAATCAATGTGGCAAGCCTTCATTCAGAGCATTCAACTTACCCTGCATCTAAGAACTCATTCTGGAGAGAAACCTTATGAATGTACCGAATGTCGTAAAACCTATAGTCATAGCTCATCGCTGGTCCAACATAAGAGGATTCATACTGGGGAGAAACCCTTTGAATGTAAAAACTGTGGGAAAGCCTTTCCCCAAGGCATCCAGCTTACTTTACATCTGAGAATGCATACTGGGGAGAAACCATATGAATGTACTGAATGTGGCAAAGCCTATAGTCATAGGTCATCCCTTATTCAACATAAGACAATCCATACTGGGAAGAAACACTTTGAATGTAATGAATGTGGGAAAACTTACCGATGGAATACACACCTTACTCAACACCAGGGAATTCATACTGGAGAGAAACCTTATAAATGCAAAAAATGTGACAAGTCTTTCAGCAGAAGTACACACCTCAATCAACACCAGAGAACTCATACTGAAGAGAAAACCTACAAGGGTAATGAGTGTGGGAAAACCTTTGGTCAGAGTGTATATCTGACTCAACACCAGGCGATGCATACTGGAGAAAAACCCCTATCAATGTAAGGAATGTGGAAAGGCCTTCACCGTAAACGCATACCTTGCTCAACATGAAAGGATTCATAAGAGAAACAAACCCTTATAATATGCTAATCACGAAGAAATTCAGAATGGAAAGTCAAACAATGTATTTAATGTGGGAAATATTTCAGCATAAACACAGGTATTCTTCAACATCAATAAATTAATAAACCCTATAAATATAATTGTGGAAAATATTTCATTTGTAGCATGTCATGTAGTCAATAAGCCCATTCATTATAAACAGAACTAAGAAAGTGAAAAATGTGTGAAATGTTTTAATGTAATATTATCTCATACTAAAAGTTAAAGAAAAAACACTGGGGAACCTTATAAGGTTAACACTATATAATAACATATTTTACTTAACAATAACAATTTTATACACATTTTTTTTTTTTTTAGCTGAGCCATCCTGTTACCTGTTGGCAGCTCCAAGTGGCTGCTCAGCTCGGGCTGGACTCGAACCGCTTGTTGCTCAGAGCTCAAACTCTTGAGCGAGCTCTTAACCAACTGAGCCACTCGGCCGGCCCTTTAACAATAACATTTTTAAAACCATGATATCATACATGAAAGTTAAATCTTTTTATATATCATGCTGGGTTTCTAGAAAAGGTGCAGAAATAATGTCTGTTGAATCTATAAATGATGTTATATATGAAGAAGGCAGGCTCACACTTCAAACTTGATGCCCTACTTTATATAGACCTAGCTTTAAATACTCTAGATCAGGGGTCAGCAAACTATGACCCAGAGCCAAATCCAGCCTGCACCTGTTTTTTTGTAACTAAAATTTTATTGAAACTTAGTCACATATGTTTATATATTGTTCATAACTGCTTTTACTCTGCAAAGGCAGAGTTAAGTAGTTGCGACAGAGACTGTACAGCCTTGTATTAGCTTGCTAGGGCTGCTCTAACAAAATACCACAGATTGGGCCGGCCGAGTGGTGCGATGGTTAAGAACTGGCTTGGGACGCCAGAGGGCCCTGGTTCAGATCCCACATATGAGGGCCAGTGACACTGCCCTCCACAGCTAAGATACTGAACAACAGCTCAACCTGGAGCTGGGCTGCCGTGAGTTGCCGGCGACGGCGTAGGCTGCAGCCCCTGTGGCAGTGGGTTGCCATGGGCTACCGTGTGTGGCCAGAAGCCAGCGTGAGCGGCCAGCAGCCGCAGTGAGCGGCTGTTCAGAAGCCAGCGACTGATCTTCCCTCGCCCGGGAAGAGCGCAATGATGGTACCAACTTGGGCCAGTGAAGCAACATCCTCCACAACCAGACTGAAGAACAAAACAACAGCAACTTGTCTGTTCCCCTTCCCCCAATTCCCCAGCACTGTTCCCATCCCCCCAACTCCCCAATAAAAAATCTTAAAAAAAAATACCACAGACTAGGTGGCTTAAACAAGAGAAACTTACCATCTCACAGTTCTGGCGGCTGAAAGTCTCAGATCATGGTGCTGGCAGGTTTGGTTTCTCTCTCTTTGGCATGCAGATGACCATCTTCTCACTGTGTTCCTCTGTGCACACATCCTTGGTGTCTCTTCCTTTTCTTATAAGGACACCAGCTCTATTGGAATAGGGCCCCATTCTTATGACCTCTTTTTAATTACCTCTTTAAAGGCCTTATCTTTAAATACAGTCACATTGGAGTTTAGGGCTTTGTTTTAATCTGTTCCAGCTGCTATAACAGATATACCATACACTGGGTGGTTTATAAACAACAGAAATTTATTTCTCACTGTTTTGGAGGCTGGGAATTCCAAGATCAAGGTGCTGGCAGACTTGGTGTCTGGTGAGGGCCCATTTCCAGGTTCAGGGAAAATCGTCTTTTTGCTGTGTCCTTACATGGTGGAAGGAGTGAGGAATCTGTCTGGGGCCCGTTTTATAAGGGTACTAATCCCATTCATTAGGGTTCTACCCTCATGACCCAATCACCTCCCAAAGGCCCTACCTCCTAATACCATCACCTTGGCGGTTAGGATTTCAACATATGAACTCTGGATGGGGGACACATTCAGGATAGCAGGTGTCAACGTATGGATTTGGGGGAACACAAGTCAGTCTATAACAAGCCTGCAAAACTTAACGTAGTATCTTGTCCTTTACAGAATAAGTTTCCTGAACCCTGTCGGTGTAGATAATCAACTGTAATTATGTCAACATTAAACATTATATTCAGATTTCTAAAATATATGAAATTGGTAAATTAGGGCAACATAGTAGTAAGTCATAAAGCATATCATACAGAGAACTTGTTTTATAATTGTTAAATTATTTTGCAAAAATTAGAGAAGGGATAATTTTTTTTCTGGAAAATAAAAGGCAGAAATGTTTCTTTGAAGATACTCCTATGGATTCTCTAATGAATAGTTTTTGTAGCAAACACAGTGTTCTGATCCCCTCCTATTTATCCTGTTGGTGAGAGAGGTATCCTGTGCCCTCCATAATACAAGATAGCCAAGCATGAGACACCTGACACTGGCCAGATGATTGACAAACGTTTATTAGTCACACATGCTCACCGCCTACAGGAGGACATCATACAACATGCAACACTAAACATGGGTTGTACTTGGGAACAGTGAACCAGTAGGTGTGGGGCTGTGGGAGGAAGGCTTTTTAGTAGCAAGAGGTGCCCCCTGGTTCCCACGGGAGGATGTGATTGGCTTGTGTGAATAATTCATGGGCTAGCAGGGTTAGGTGAAAGTCCAGTCAATAGGGAAATTAGCTGGATTAGGAGCCTTTCCTTTTGGATGGGGGCATATCTGGTAAGAGCAGCAGAGTTCATTATTAGGTCGTCAGGGCCATGTGAGGCTCAAAGATGTCCAGTCAGCACATTAAATTTTAGTTCTTATAACACCCATGGGCAATAGAAACCAGGTTTGGCAGGGGATATTTTCTATTTAATAATGCTAATCAGGTTAGCATTAACAAAGTGCAAATCACAGCTAACTAGTATTATACGCAGATTTGCCTTAACTACTAACAAATCCTCATTACACCAACTTTTTCACATAATCACTTATGAAATAACAATAACAAAAACCTTAACACCTTTGCTCAAAGTGTGACAATTTTACATTATTAATGTGCTTGTCTTTAAAATCCCCAATTTTTAAATGCTTTTTACTTTTAAAATGGCACATGTACCCATATTTCTTTGGACTTTCACACTGCCCTGGAAATCAGCCCTCAGGATTTTACATGGATGACCTTCAGGAGTCAAAAAGTGGGCCAGCCGAGTGGCGCGTTGGTTAAGAGTTGGCTTAGGACGCCGGCTCTGAGCAGCAGAGCCCCGGTTCGGATCCTACATGAGGGCCATTGATGTTGCGCCCTCTACAGCTAAGATGGTGAACAACAGCTCGACCTGGAGCTGGGCTGCCATGAGTCGTGGTCTACGGTGTAGGCTGCAGTGGAGCTGCAGTTGGGGATGCAGTGGGCTGCTGTAAGCTACCATGAGCGGCTGGCAGCTGGCGTGAGCAGCCATCCAGTGACCAGCGACCGATCTGCCTCAGCCAGGAAGAGCACAATGATAATACCAACATGGGCTAGTGAAGTGACGTCCTCCACAACTAGACTGAAGAACAGCAACTTGACTGTTCCCCCTCCCTGATTCCCCAATGCTGTTCCCCTCCCCCAATTCCCCAATAAAATCTTTAAAAAGGAAAAAAAAAGTGACTTGGGATGTCTCTATATCTGAGTGAAAATCTCACACTAAATATTCTTGGTTAAATGCCTTTCACAGCTCCAGAATACTGTGGTTGGTATAAAGCAGTAATTGCACCATCCCATCCGCTCCTGGGCCTATCCTTGTGGCCACTGTCTTGTTACTTTTCAGGACTGGTGGGCAGAGACATGAGTGGACAGAGCATTCAACATAAAACCCCTGGGGTTGTACTGACTTACATACAGTCACACAACATAGAGATGTACACAGATACACAAAGATGCATACACTGATGAACACGGTGGGTACACATACATACACGCACACAGTGACACACAGAGGAACATGTACAACACACACGTACAGTTACAACTGGACCCACAGTCCCACAATCTTACAGAGGTGCGGATCCACCCAGACACAAACCAGAATTGTGAGAGAACATCTACACACAAGTTCACAGATTCATGTGTACAAAACATATACACACTGTCACACAGAACACACCCAGGCAATCAGACATAGGTGATCCTATGAACCATCCACAATTACATATAAAAGAACATACAGAGGGGCACATGCACAAATACAAACATTCATGCAGACCTGTGGAAGCACAGTGGGATACACATACATGCGAGTACATATCTATACAGACTCAGACCAGACCTGTATGTCAACAGCTATATGCCATCACACACAGAATCACATTAGACTCACAAGTAAGCACACAGTGGTGCATGCAACTTACACTCTCCTGTACAGACACATGCATCGATGCACACATCCAGACCCGTATCAGAACTGCGACACAACAGCCACTCTGAGGGGAGAGGTGACTCCATCTTGAAGCTAATCCACTAGCTTAACTTCTGAGTGAATGAGCTCAGACCTTTGACCCTCTCCCCTTCTCCAGTGTGGACCCTGGAAAGTGTACAAAAGTCAGGCTAATGATGAAATTTCCATTACTCCTACTTCTGGGGCAAGGCGCCCTACATGTTATCTCTTATCTCACCCTGGCACCAAGGCCTCTCAGTACCTGGCCTCTTGGTTCCCCCCTGACCACCCACACATTCTTTTCCTAGCATGTAGGTTCATTTCTAAGGGGGGATAAAAGAGGGTGGTCTAGAGGATGAAAGGTACAGAGAGCTAATGTCCTGCAGCCACCCAGGGCCTGTTTCTATTAATCCCATTAACTGACAAGCTGGACTTGTCGGCTTTGTTCTTTGGTCTCTTGGCTCCTTCACCATTTGGGGGCGCTTTGCGTACATGTTCTTTTCACAGAACAGCCACATACAGGACACAGATTCACCTGCACACAGGTGCATGCATGCACTTTTTTGCAGAGGCACACTCACACAGTTGCATACAGTTGAGAAACGTGAGGCAAGCACCAAACTCAGAAATGAGCATAGGGTGGTTGTGTTCACTTACACAAACAAACTCACCTAGATCTGCAAGACCCACAGAAACACAAATATTAATACATTCACAGGTTCACCTATACACACAAAAGACCCACACGTTAACCAGTCCTGTAAGGCTACAGCCACTTGCCACCACATTCACAGATCCACAACAGACGTTTGAGGCTCAAATGCACACAGTCCCACCCCTTCCCAAGGCTTCTGCCTGGGGTTGCTATTAAACACTATCCCTGCCCTGGGCACAGCTATGCTGATGCAGGCACTGCCCATGCCGGAAGCTGTCAGGTGAGAACCTGTGTCCAAGCCTACCTGGGGTCAAAGTGGAAGTCTGAACAGTTTCCAATCTGCACCCTTTCTGCCCTACCAAAGACCAGCTCTCAGTGGGAACCTTGTAGTAAACTTCAGTTCTAGAGTTACTGCCTGAATTCAAAGCCTGACTCCACCTCCTTCTGGCTGTGTGACCGGACAAGTTATCTCTGTGTACCCCAGATTCCTCACCTGTAAAATGAGGGTAATAATAGTTACCAAACCTCCCTGAGTTGTTGTGAGCATTCTGCTAGAAAATACACGTCAAACTCTTGGAAACCTGCCTGGCATGTGGTCGGTGCTCAACATGTGCCACTGCCCAGAGCCTCCTTCTCAAGCTCCTGAAAACACACACACACACACACACACACACACACACA